TCGAAGCTTGTTGGCTGCAAATTTGTTGTAATTTGAGGCCATCCTTCTATTTTTCCTCATAAAAGGCTGTTTTATAACTTCTCTGGTTTGTGTAAAGTGAGGTCACATCAAATGACTCAATTACACTATGCTTTTCACTTTTTTTACTACTACTTTTTGAATAAACTTCTAAGTCAGTTGCTAGTAAAGATACCAGCTCATCTTTCCAATACGATAGACTTTATCGAATAAATCCGAAACACAAAGTTTGACCTGCATAGTGTAATTGAGCCATTCGATGTGACCTCACTTTACACAAATGTACAAAACCATCAAGCTTTGCAAGCACTATCGGAACTGTTAGATAAACACGCTGGATCTATCAACTTCTATGGACTTAGCAAGATGCGAATTATGACCCTAGTGAGCGAGTGTTTACGCTGCAATATCTTTTGATGGTCTGGAGTTTATTATTCTCAGATCCGCGGGCTAGCTATGGGTCAGAGACTAGCACCGGTTCTCGCCATATGTTTTATAAGCAAAGTCGAAGAGCCTGTGTTGAGTCGAATGCCGTTGATGTACTGCCGCTACATCGATGACTGTTGTGTGGTGACCGCTACACAGTCCGAAATAGACGAGTGTTTAAGGATCCTCAACCAACAGTCGCAATACATCCGGCTTACTCGCGAAAAACCACGAGAGGGGTGGCTGCCTTACCTAAACACGCTGGTCAAGTTAAGCAATGGCATCGTAACAATGAAGTGGTATCGCAAGAATAATTGTAAAAACATCCTCATTAATGCAAAGTCTGCACACCCCACGAGCACTAAACTAGCTGTGATCGGCAATATGTTCAAAACAGCGACGATGGTGTGCACCGGAGAGGATGAACGCCTCGAAGCGCGATGTCTAGCCTCACAGATCGCCCGCAGTAATGGCTATGCAATTTCGGCGCAAACGCAATGTCACAATCGTCAACAGCGTTTACGCAAGGACCGCACTCGAATCGAAAACAAACTCGCACTCTGCCTCCCGTTTATTTCAGATAAAGTCAGCTCTGCCTTCCAACAATGCATTTCGCGGGCACAGCTACTAGACGATGTTGTTTTGGTTAACATGAACGACAATCTCAAAAAACATCTTGTCCGTAATCGCCATTACGATCGACAATGTATAACGGAGAATTGCATTGCGTGTCCATACAGTAGAGAAGGTGACTGCGCCAGGGTGAGAGTAGTATACCAACTCGAATGCCTCGAAAGCAAAGCAAAATATATTGGCGAAACTGGCAGAGTGTCAAGCGTACGCTTAAAAGAACATCTGGCAGGAAAGAGACGGAAGAGTTTAGTAACTCCATTGGGCAAACATAGGAGTGACGCGCATGAGGGAAATGATTTTGCAGTCAAATGCAAAATTTTGGCGTTTGAAACAGATATCACGGCTAGGGAGATTCTAGAGGCTTTCTGGATATATGCAAAGACTCCAGAAATGAATAATAAGAATGAGTGCCTGTCTATAACCGCCGAGTTTCTGCCGTATATGCCGCTGTGTGAGTTGTAGATAGCGGATAGCGTCTTGATGCGCATTCTACTGTATCACTCACTTGTCCGTCAACTTTTGTCACATCCAGTCGTGCGGACATTTCGAATAGCGGTGGTGCGAGGGTGAGTTTATCTGTCTTGAGAATTTTTGCGACGCGAAGTCGGAATGAAGTCGAAACTGGCTGAGTTAGAGGAGATATCTGGTGGTCTGGTATTACGGATGATGCTTGAGTCGTTTTTAGGCCTCTGAGGACGACGAAAGCGTCGAAACGTTAGGCCAGTACCAATAAATATGCCACCATAACAAACCTGTGTTGAAAACAGAAAACAGAGTTGAAGATTATAAGCAATGCCCAGGTTTAAAGAAAACGGAACATGGAAGTTAATCGGGTAGTAGTTACTTCCAAAAAAAACCCAAGCTTGAATTTTATTTTGCTTTTTTTTCAAAAATAACTTCTAATTCCCCTTTTTAAGCCAAATTTCTTCGCATGGGAACTTGTTTAAGATATCCCAACAAAGCTAATTGGATAAAATGGATGCCTTTTGACATCTTCTATGCATCCGACGTGTGCTGTCAAGTTTCTTTGCTGAAAATGGCTCTTGACAGTGAGTGCACATGAACCCACCTGCATCTATCACTGACTTGCACCGCTTTGCAGGCCTGTAGCTCGGCCGGCAGTCACTCTACGAGCATGCAAGTAGGCTCATTCAAAAGAGATGAGTTCCTCGACACGATGGTATGCAAATGAATTGAGTTTCGGAAAACCCGGTTTGGCGGATGGGGTGATAATTTGGCTTAAAAAGGGGAATTAAAAGTTTTTTTGAAAAAAAAGCAAAATAACAAGCTTGGGTTTTTTTGGAAGTAACTACTACCCGATTGTTGTTCTGGATGAGCTCTGCAACATAGTATGCTTATCTGTCCGGAAAACTTCTGTTTTTGCCCCAAGAAAAGGACCTAAAAGAATTTTTTCGCGTTCGAAGAATTAATGTCCGCGACATTGTGACGCGGCCATTTTCGGACTTTTTTTAGGAAAAGTTTTTTAAAATTTTTATAATAAACATTACCCAGAAAGCGCAATGTGTGTTTTGTAGCTCTTGAAGAGCTCTATCAACTCGTGCAATTCAATCATTTTTTCATCTTTGTTTTCCATCCGAAAATGAGCGATGAATAAAGGAAGGCAGCTTGTCCGCAACTTGGCGGTCACTGTATATGGAAGATGAACGTGGGAATCGATCGCATGAATTTAAGCCGTTCTTATCTGTCGTTGTCATTGATATCATCATTTTACCATTAATCACTGATGATATCACAAACTTGAATTATTTTTGACATACATTAGAAAACGCTTTGCAAGTTTTTGTCGCTCTATCTCTTATAATATGCGATCTACAGGCTTTTTCGGTTCAATTGCGCGTTTGGTGCAGTAGATAGATCCCTCACTGCAGCAATCGATTGATTGCTCTTCATGCGCATGACTCCGTCTCTTTGGAAACTTTACTCTTTCAGAAAAATTCACCGCTCTTCAAATTGATAATGAACCCAATCGCCTGTTAACAGAGGGATTCAACGATTAACAGAGCACTTCTGTTTTCTGCTACACATACAGATCCAGATCCACGAAGGCGATTGGTCTTAGGTCCAAAACGGCGCAAACGGCGTGCTCGAGCATCTTTCCATCAGAGTCCACCCCCGAACGATGCGCGTACATGGGCGATTGCCTTTGTATCGAATTTTTTTTTTGAATTCTCTTATGCTCTACTCTATTTCTTGCTATCTACAATAGCTCACAAGGCGTGCAGATTTTTTTTGTATGTCGTGAAATTCCGCGGGTTTTGCGAAATCCACAACGTTCTGGGAGTTTCCGACATTTCGCGAACTCACGCAATGCTGACCATAACGAATAAATTAAAAACAACTACCTAATCTAAAAGGTTTTCCGTGTTAAATCTTTAGCTGTGGGATAAAGTTCTATGCAGCTTCCGGAGAAACTTCTGTGAGGAAGAATAAATGCGGACTTGAAACGATTACTAAGTAAGGCTTTGTAGACGTCTTAAAAGACCATGAACACATTGAACTAGTTCTTGTTTGAGTGAAATTCTTCTGTTTCCTTTTTGGAACTCTGACCAACGACAATAACCCAGTCATCCTATTACTTGCTACACATAAAATTATCAGCCACAAATCCAGATTAAATACAGCGATTAATTTTTTTTGCAGAATACCGCAACAAAGAAAAAACCAGCATTGTTTAGGCACTAGATTATTCGAATTATTCGAATAGTGAATGTTCGACCGTATGAAATTATTCGATTATTCGAATAGTCGAATGTTCGACCATCCCCATTTGTTCGAATATTCGTTCATTCGAATTTTGAAATGTAGCATTATTCGAATATTCAAATTCGAATAATCTGGAAATCACAGATCGAATAATATTCGTTTGTTCGAATATTTTTCAAAAGCCGATCATTCGAAATTCATTCGTTCGACGAAATTTTTCGGTCGTTTCAACTACAGTGCCGATGAGAAATCGACCAATTGCACCGAGCAATAGAACTAGAAAAGCCTGTAGATCACTTATAATGAGAAAAAGAGCGTTAAAAATTCACACAGCGTTTCCTACAGTACTTTTCTTATTATATGCCAAGAATGATCCAAATATGTGACACTGTCAGTGGTAAATGATGAAATGCTTCAAAATGATAAGCGTGGATGACGGCTTATTCTCTCGCGATAGTTTCGATAATGAAAACTTCGTACCATAACCTGCTATTCGCGATTTACACTGTCACAGATGTTCACAAAAACCTTAACATAGAAAAAAACAAGATCACCATATGTCTACCGTCTCACCATGAATTACAGACATACCTTATATGAAAAGATTCGTCTCATCAAGCTGAAGCCAGATCTTCACGCAGATTACAAGTAAAGCTGTTTTAAAATAAGTTATAGCTAAATCCCGCTTATCCAGCGAATCCCGCGAATTCCGACAATCCCGCAATTTTGGACAAATTTTACCGCTGCAGCTGTACTGGTTATCTGCTTTTTGATTTCCTTTTGAGCTTACGGTTTTCATCCAAACTACTTCCTCTACGACCACCTCCCCACCTTAGTTGCTCACTTTACGACCCCCTGTTGCGACAGTCGCATCACACGCTTAACCTTGCTTGGGCATGTTGAACGAATCGGGTTATTTGACAACATACTTTTGACTTCTCGAATGCTTTTCCTGCTGTATTCTAGACCGGTTTCGCATCCATCCTCCTGGTCAGGAGCAGCTTTAATCCTTGATGTGAAAGTTCAGTTTGTCCGACTTCAAGATTGCAGGATTAAGCCTAGTGTCATGAAGGAAATTATGTAATCCAAGTTCGACGGATCAAATGTAACTCATCCAGCTGCAAACATCAAAGTATTCGAATAAAATCAAATTCTGTGCTGCAAAAGTTGCAGGAAGTTTAGTAATTTGGGTTTTGCAGAAATTTTCGCTGAAGCGCAATAAATCAAAGGAGGTGAAGATTTTCGTTCATTCGTTGCATTCACCAGAACATCTTCGAACAGTTTTTCAACTTATGAAAGATAGTAAGCGCAGTTATGACAATGATATCATAAGAAGTTACATTGTTTGCCTGTTGATTCTCGCTCTCTTTTGTGTTTGTTATTGATTGTATTTTGATTTAGTAATAAATATATTTTTCAAACTTTTTGGGTATGCTGACTGCCATAGACGAATCGTAAATAACTGCTTATTCCAAAGGCTCCTCCGCGGTCGCTCAGCTTGAATGTTAAATCTTCTTACCAAAAACGCAAAAACAGATTCGAATAGTTTTTGATTGTGATTTGGTAGCTCTAAGAACGCCTTCAGCATGACTTTAACAAGCTCAAGAAATAAGTGACTTGGCAGTCATAATCAGCGCCGACAATACCTCAAAAATAAATCAAAAATCCCTGAATTATTTTGCTTCTTGAAGATACAAGCAAAATTCCTTCATTTTTCGAATCACTCAATTCGCAAAAGGAAACAGAAACATCTTTAATGTCAAGAAAATACACCGACCTGATGCAGCAAAATTGGCGGTGGCCAACTCTAAAGATTTCTCGGAGTAATCCATGGTAAGACCATACACTTTTTTATAAAGTCTTACAAGAATAATTCTTACAAATTGTACCCAATCCAAAAATTTGGGTATTAACAAAATTTATGCATGTCAACTATTTCAAAAAGATACATCAGAAGAAACTGGAGTGAAATTATGTGACTTTGATGAACTTACCCAGATGTCCAGTAGTAATAATAAGCATAGGTTATACAAATTTGTTTATTTGGTGTGTGCATCCTACGGAAGTAAGGACTGCGTTAGGATAAAGTGAAAAGGGCGGGCATACATCAGGCGATTTTATCGTCTCGCATTTCCCACGACAAAACAACTGTCACAAGCTCACTGCATGCTGACCATCATGCATTTCGATTGTGACACTTACTCGCGATTAGTCGTGTCGGAGAATTATCACAACCGAAATGCAAGATACTATGCATGCAATGAAGTTGCAGCACTTATCGTGTTGAGAGTCGCGAGCCGATGAAATTGCGTGACGTATGCTCGGCGCTGAAGATGTTTCTGATTTTCTACCGTATGAGTTAATTTGCTCATCAGCTCCGCCGAGTCCGGCGCCACGTATTCAGACGTGTCGTATTATATCAGATCAACCCTCAAATGTGGCACGAAAATTTGCTGAGCTGATAGACGAATCTATGCCGATAGAAGAACCAATACGCATTAACACAGACTGTAATTGGCACTGTCTGTATTGTTTAAATTATACAGATGATCAAGCCGGCATTCCACGTACCACCCCATTCTGGAGCCTCGTACTTGACCTCTCATGTAGCAAAGCTACCCTCCCTTTGATTCCGTCTTTCTTGTGTTCGCTTCCTACCGTCCTTATTATATTTTGGTGACCAGCAGATCAAAATGAGCTTCACCACTCATCTTTCATGGTTAATGGGAAATGTCCACGGATACATAGGCACACAAATTTTCTGCTTTATTTATATAGAGATAAGTTCCACTATATAGTCTTGACACACCTGAGGTGCTTCCGTCGTGTTCACACAGTAGTGCGGACTACCAACTCCGCGGTGCAAATACTGCATAAGAGCAGACGCAGGCAAACTGCTTTGTCAGATTTTAAAGGTATAAAAAAGTTCCAGGAGCACCGTAGCAGACCCGTGCTTTCCAGGCCAAACTATGTGCTTCAAACTCCTAACTAAAGACGCCGTTCACCGAAGGGTTAGGTTGATGGAAACGCAGCGTGTTCTTAGCATTTGGCGCATTCTTTGTAGCGCCTGCTGGTCTTTGATAACTTTACTGGGCAGGTTCGAACTTATAATCGTTGCATAAAATTCATTACCCTTATTTTTTTGTTACTTTAGAATTACGACAGAAACCTGTACGAATATTGATCAGTGAGAGCATATATCGGCCAAAGAATATTGAAGACGATGTTGTCAAAACATGCAGACAAAAAACGATTTATATGAACATAAACGACACATAAAAATGCTCAGCTTTGAAGGAAAATATAGAAACGGAAGACTTCAGCTTAAACGCTGACGCTGCTGCCAATGAATTGCGCCAGCCTGACTTTTCATCCTGATGTGCCCAAACGTTTTGATATGTGTTGAATACTCAATCTAGCCTACTGTCCTCTATCGAAACCCAGGCAAACTTGTCCCGTGTCCTCTACAAGAACTCCTTTTGTTAAGAAAATCAAAACCCCAGTCCCACCAACAGGTGCGAGGGGAGAGCCGATCCGGGCTTACCAAAAGTAAAGGTGGTCCCTGCTACCATACCGGCCAAAAATAGGTGGTAGTGCGGACACTCACCTCCCAAAAACGTCGACCGGGGGGGGGGGGGGGAGAGGACGAACGAAGTGAGCTCCTTCTAGGTCGAACTGTGACCCAACGGCCCTCTTTAGGGCCACAGATACGATGAATATAGCAGCATAAGTATTTAAAATAAACCTGTTTATAAATGGTGTGTGGTGAAGTGAAACAAGACTTTACAGATTTTATTAAGTAAATTTTGTTATAACGTACTGCGAAGAAAATAGGTCGATCCAGGCAGTAAACGCCGAGAACCAGAATTTCGAATGATAAAATAACGAGAAATCATGCGAAATTTCCACTGTTATAAATTTGGTGTTTGAAGATGTCAGCAACTGCAATTTGTATGTTTCAAAGTGAGTGTTGTTCTACCAGATAGTGAAGGAGACAGTCGATATGAGCAGTGGCCGCCGAGAACGAGAATTTTGAAAAATTAAACGATTTTAGGTTGCTTAGTGACAGCTGACAGTTAAACTCATATAGATCTTGAATGTGAAAGTGCGTGATGTTGCGACTTCATAAGCGTAAAGTAAGGTCCTTATCAGAATGTATCTTAGCCGTACCGATCCATTGAAACAGCGCCGAGATCCAGGGTCTAAAAAATGCAGGTAAAAAAGCGATTTTTGAAATTCAACAGCTCAAAACTTCTTCAGAACTGCATGAATCATGTTGCAACTTCATAGGTTAGATTTTTCTCATCAAGAGCTTTCCGATGATGTACAATATGTGGAGGTTTAAGGTTTCCTATGGCTTATGCCCGTGGCCAGAATGTCGCGGACTTGAGCTTAAATCCCGAAATTCCGCGAAGTTCACGGAGATTTTGCACATTCTGTGAGCGGTATTGTGATCTTGAGCAGATTTTAGAACAAATTCGATTAGTGTGACTCTCTAGCATGCTCCTCCGGTATACTTTCTATGTGTCATCAGCGACAAATCAATGGCAATACTGTTGTCAGCCGACTGAACAATCCAACCAAACAAAAAACTGCAAAACTGCGCAGAAACTTACTGTCTAGCGCATACCTATTATATCCTGCTAGATTGTGGCACACTTATATACTAGATGATGCGTCTTGCCGAGCTGAATCGAATGGTGACCTTGGATTCAGAATCGTCCATTCTGAAGCAAGATATGGCGATGCGACGCGGATTCCGACGGATCTAGTGAAGTGTGGCGCACTCTGCCGCACTTCGGCGGACGAATTTTGACGAATTATGAGCATTGCATATTACAAGCCTTTAGAAACATAACCGTAAATTTTCAGCTTTCCCAGGTTCTAGTTTTCGAAAAATAATGATTTTAGCATGAAACACTCGAGCGAGGAAAGCTGAATCCGGTAATTCTCGAAACCTAGTGCTTGTGGAAAACTGAAAATCTACGGTTATACTCCCAAGATCTTGCAGTATACAATTGCATAACTTAAAACAGCATAGCTTCGTTTTTGTATAAGTATGAATATTTTTGTTTTCTTGATTTCTAAATGAGGAAAAAAATCCAGGGACAGTGCATATGAGTGTCTAATGTAGAGTGCAATTTTTACGACAACTTGGAGATCCGTAGAATTTTTTTGAACAAAGATATGAACTTTTCGCATTTTTTGAACTTTCAGTACGGCCGCTGGTGCGAAGTTTTGATCGTCATCTTGTAGGGCTAGCTTTGCTCCATCGAATGGTATCCTGGAGCCTGAAAATGTGAACTATATTAATTATGAAGTAAGAAGCAAGAGTGTTTCATAACTTATATTACAACCTAAAATTAATCGTAGCTTTCGTAATATTTCCCAGGCTTCTCACTCAATGTGTTCTCCCTCGATATATTTGATTAAAATACTTAGACCAACCCATAATCATCTAACACAGTTGGTTAATTTTGTCCAAGTCTTTACTAAACCACAATACCGATCATAATTCGTCAAAAAAGTCGCCGGAGTGCGCCGCACTCCGCCACACTCCGATGCACTCTAGCGCACTCCGCCGCACTCCGGCGCACTGCGCCACTCTCCGCCACACTCCGACGCATTCTAGCGCACTCCGCCGCAGTCCGGCGACTTTTTTGATGAATTATGAGCGGTATTGTATGTAGAGCAGTCTGTTATATCCCCCTTGTTCTTCCACACTGGTATCGTTGCGCTCTTGTAACAATCGTTGGGCATCTTCTTGCATTTTACAATACCGCTCACAGAATGTGCAAAATTTCCGTGCACATCGCAAAATTCCGAAAATTCCGCGAACTTTCCGGAATTTCGCGAAACTCCTGAAAGTTCGCGAAGTTTCGCGAAATTCCAGGAATTTCGCGAAATTTTCGGAATTTTGCGATATTCAGGGAAATTTTGCACATTCTGTGAGCGGTATTGTACTCGACGTGCTAACAACATTTCTTACATTTGCTGCTGGTGGCACGTTGTAGGATAGAATATCTGCGAAATTACACGACCTTCGAATTTGAAAGACAATTCATGAGAAGGCGATTTTGTAACATCATAATCTGACGAACAATTCAAATAAAGATCTGTGCTAAGCATGGTCCGATAGAGGTGTTCACAAAGTTTTCGATTCACAAAAATTTGCAGACAATTTCCGCAACAGGTAGGGGAAAAGTGCAGGCGAAGTTGCGATCTTGATTGGTTCAGCTACTTCTATCTCACTTTAGCTTTACTAAGACTCTCTAGTGCAAAATAAATAGGATTTTTGTAATGATCGAGACCAAAAACCACTATGAGCAAAGTTTCCGGTCAATCCGAGAACCTCAATATTTTGACCAAATCTTGCGCCGAGGCCAAGAGTGAGGAGCGAGCACGTTATATCAGTGTGTATTGCTTATAAAAAGCTGGAAAAAATATGGAATGTATAGGTATGAGAAAGGTGTCTTAAGTGATTTTTGGGGGAATTACGGGG